GCTCACTGCATACTTTTGTAGTCTTTAAATATTTTTAATAAGCATGTATTACCTTTATCATTCTTTTTTAAAGTCTACAGCACCCGGTATTCCCAGGTGGTCTCCCATCCAAGTACTAACCAGGCCCAACTCTGCTTAGCTTCCAAGATCATATGAGATTGGTCATGTTCAGGGTGGTATGGCTACAGACTATTATCTCTATAATTCTGTAAACAATCTCTGTAAATGGGTGGAGGGGAGCAATACCTGTTAGCAAAATTTAAGCAATTGAAATTCACAAAATAAGAAACAATTCCTTAATTCCCCTATCATATATTTCTGGCCTTCTCTATAGCTAGATAAAAATGATATCCTATTATAATTCTCTACTACATCTTGATTTTTTACACATAAAATACATTGTAGTGCTGTACTACTCTATTTATATGAAATTATAGAGAAGGCAGAACTAATTTATAGTGAAAAAAAGTAGACCAATGGCCTCAGGCCAGAGAGGTGTAGACTGCAAAGGGGCACGAGGGAACATTTTTTTGGAGAAAGAAATATTCAATATCTTGATTGTGGTAGTTGTTACATCAGTATATAATCTGTTGAAACTCATAGAACTATATACTTAAAATAGGTGCATTTTACCGTATGTAAATTACACCTCAAAGAAAGTGATTGAAACCTTTATGATTTTAAAAGACAAAAAATACACTGTGGGCCAGGTGCAGTGGCTCATGCCTGTAATCCTAGCACTTTAGGAGGCTGAGGCAGGGGGATTGCTTGAGGCCAGGAGTTCAAGACCAGCCTGAGCAAGAGTTAGACTCCATCTCCACAAAAAATAGAAAAATTAGCTGGGTTCGGTGGTGTGCACCTGTAGTCCCAGCTACCCAGGAGGTTGAGGCAGGAGGATTGCTTAATCCTCAAACTAGGAGTCTGAGGTTGCAGTGAGCTATGATGACATCATGGCACTCTAGCTCAGATGACAGCAGACCCTGTCTCAAAAACACCACCACCACCACCATGGACAGGTTCTCAGTTTGACATATAGTTTGACATCACTATTTTTTGAGATCACATAGTATTTTAGCACATAATTGGACCATAATTTAATTACCAATTGCCTTTGATAGAGATTTAGTTTTGCTCCTTCAGTTTCTGGCTGTCATAAACAATGTTTCCATGATTATCCTTATAGCCACATCTTTGTGCACTTATACAGTTATTTCTTTAGGATAAATTCCCAGAAGCGAAATTTCTGGGACAAAAGATATTTAATGGCAATAAACAATGGCAAATTATAATCCAAAACTGTTATACTAATTTATACTTTCACCGTGTATTAAGATTCCCACTACTGCTACATTCTCACCAGTGCAGTCTGTTTTTATATAATATTTGCCAATTAGAAAGATGAAAAATGATAGCTCATTGTTTTATTTAAAAAAAAAACTTTTTTTGAGACAGGGTCTTCCCCTGTGGCCCTGGCTAGAGTTGTTTTTCTCTTGATTCTTAGTGAGATTTAGCATCTTTTCAATATCTTGGTCATTTATAGTTCTATGAATTATCTGTGTCCTTTTTCCTATTTCTATTTGTGTCCATAATTCTATTTGGTTACTTATTCCTTATTGATTTATAAGAGTTCTTTATATATTAAGGATATTAATGCTCTTTAACATATGTTGCAAATGTTGACTCCTGGCTTATGCCTCAACTTTATGGCACCTATTATTATTCATAAATATTTTAATGATTTAATGTTAAGTAGTTATTTAATATTTTAGGTAAATTAACGTAAATTGGTTGGTTTCTCCCTTTATTTCTTCTGAGTTTTGTATCTTGTTTTAAAAAGCCTTTCTTACCCAAATAATACTTTAACAATATTCTCTCATGTTTTCTTATTGTTTTTATGATTTTATAATTTTAACTTAGTCCACATGAAATTAAATTTTGTGTTTAATGTGAAGTAAAGTCGAAAATTTTTTTCATAGGCTGGTCAATGGCCCCAACACCATTTCCACTAATTTGAAATGCTATTTTTGTCACATTGCCAAACTCCTTTATGTGTAGATGATATAAATATACATTTGTTCCTGGCCCGTATATTCTGTTCTATTGACTCATGTATCTATTCTCGTGTTAGCCCACCCTGTTTCATATATATATCCTATTTACAATATAATGGAAGACTGTATTCTAGAATGCAAGGTTGGCTCAATATTAGAAAATCTATTAGTGTAGCTCATAGATCAAAGGAGAGACCTGATATATATCACTCATGCCACTCCCTCCAGCAGCTTACCACCACCCTTAGGACAAATCCGAACTCCTCATGATGATGACCACATCTGCCAACCCCAAGGGTGGGCCCAGGAGCTCTGGCAACTCTGGCCTTTTCCCTTTCCTCTAACACGCGGGGCATCTGCACGTGCTGTTTCCCTGCCTGAGATGCTCTTCTCCAGCTCTTTGCATAACTAACTCCTTCTCACCCTTCTCTGCACCTAGGTCGCTTTCTCACAAAGGCCTTCCCTGGCCACCGTGACCAAAGCATCCCCTCTCCCCTCCCCCTAGACTGCTAGCCCCCTTTGTCACTCACAGTTTATTTCATTCCCAGCACTAATCACCAGCTGAACCTGCCTTGCTTATTTACCTGTTTTCTTCTTTATTGTCATCACCCCCTACCCCCATCCCCACACGCACAGGATAAGGATTCTGTCCAGCTTCTTCACCTTCACCCCCCGCTCCCCGAGCCTAGAACACACTGTGGTGGGCCTGTTCACCCTCAGTAGACATTTGCTGGTTGAATAAATGAATGGAAATAAATCATATGATTATATCAGTATATGCTAAAAAGGCATTTACTAATTTAACAGACATTCCTAATTTTTAAAAAATGTGTAAACCTACTATAAGAGGCAGTAGATGGTGATACAGCACAAGCGTTGGTGTCAAGGGAGGTCTTGGTTTCCATCCCAACTCAGCCACTTCCCAGACGTGTGTCCCCGGGCACATCACCTAACCTCTCTGAGTCTCAGTGTCCTCATCTATAAAATAGGATAAATAATAGTATTGAGAGTTGTTACAAGAAGTAAATTAAATGTGTAAGTATAGTGCCTAACAGAATATCTAAAACATGGTATGCCTTCGATAAATATTACCTATTATTTGAATGGTAACAGAAAACAAGTAGAGAAGAACACAAACTAGAAATCGGTCACAAACATCACACCTAACAGTCTGGGCTAGAACCACTCCAGTACTGTCTGGCATAAGACACGAATGAGCGCTACGACTGCATTCTCCAGGGAAGGGGTAGGCCTAGCTAACGTAGTAAAATTGTTTACAATGAGAGCTCTAATTTTAGAAATGAAGAGATAAAATTATTCTCACTGAAGCAATCTGAAAGCCTGAAGAAAATTAACTGCAAAAGGATGAGAACCAAGGTGAATACTTAATATGTTGATGACACGTAAGATAACATAAAAATTAATCATCTTCTTTTATACCGACAATATTCTTTTTTTTGAGACAGAATCTTGCTCTGTTGCTCGGGCTAGAGTGCTGTGGTATCAGCCTAGCTCACAGCAACCTCAAACTCCCGGGCTCAAGCGATCTTCCTGCCTCAGCCTCCTGGGTAGCTGGGACTACAGGCATGCGCCACCATGCCCGGCTAATTTTTTCTATACATTTTTAGTTGTCCAGCTAATTT